TTTTTTTTTTTTGATGCTATTGTGAAAGGAATTGTTTCCCTAATTTCTCTCTCAGTGACGCTGTTATTTATGTACAAGAAGGCTATTGTTTTTTGAGGGTTGGCCTTGTATCCAGCTGCTCTACTGTATCTGTCAATTAAGTCTAGACTACTTTTGGCAGAGTTTTTTGCATGTGCTATGTAGAGCATCATATCGTCAGCAGACAATGACAGTTTCACTTTATCCTTTCCTATCTTTAATCCTTTTCTTTCTCTTATCTAATTGCTGTGGCTAATGTTTCCAGAACTATATTGAATAGGAGTGGTGATAGTTGGAATCCTTGTCTTGTTCCTGATTTTAGCCTGCACGTTTGTAGTTTTTGACCATTTAGTATGATGTTGGCTGTTGGTTTTCCACATATAGCCTTAATCAGGTTGAGATATAGACCATCTATTCCAATTTTCTGTAGAAGTTTTATCATGAATGGGTATTGGAATTTTTTTGGATGCTTTTTCTGCATCTATTTAGATGATCATATAGTTTTTGTCCATGGCTCTGTTAAAATAGTGTATTACATTTAATGATTTACATTGACCCATCCTTGTATCGCTGAGATAAATCTGACTTGGTCAGGGTGTATGATCTTCTTGATGACCCTCTGTGTTCTGTTTGCCAGTATATTGTTGAGGATTTTTGCATCTGTGTTCGTTAGGGAGATTGGCTTGTAGTTCTCTTTTTCGGTTGGGTCTTTCCCTGGTTTTGGAATCAAAGTCACACTTGCTTCCAGGAATGGATTTGGAAGTATTGCTTCCCTTTCAATTTCATAGAAGAGTTTAAAGTGTAATGGTGATTGTTCTTCTCTAGATGTCTCATAGAATTCAGCAGTGAAGCCATCAGGACCTGGGCTTTTCTTTGTTGTCGATATGTAATTACGTTTTCAATTTCACTCATTGAAATTGGGGTGTTTAAAATGTTTATATCTTCATTTAACTTTGGTAATTTGTATGTATCTAGGAAGCTGTCCATTTCTTCTGTGTTTTCCATTTTATTAGAGTACAGGTTCTCCAAGTAGGTATTGATGATCCTCTGGATTTCTGCTGGATCTGTTGTGACTTCACCTTTTTCATTCTTAATTGCGTGGATTTGAGTCTTTTCCTTCCTTTTTTTGATAAGGTTGGCTAAGGGTTTATCGATTTTATTTATTCCTTCGAAAATCCAACTCTTGGATTCATTGATTTTTTTTTGTATCATTCTCTTAGTCTCCATTGCATTGATTTCTGCTCCGATCTTTATAATTTCCTCTCTTGTGTGAGCTTTGGCTTTGTCATGCTCTTGTTTTTCTAGGAGTTTGAGGTTCGACATTCGGTTGTTTATTTGAGCTCTCTCTGTTTTCCCAGTATAGGCATTCACTGCTATGAATTTCCCACATTGAACTGCTTTCATTGTGCCCCATAGATTCCTGTATGTTGTACTGGCATCATCATTTACTTGTAGAAAGTGTCTAATTTCTTCTTTAATTCCCTCTGTGACCCATTGGTGGTTCAGGATATTGTTATTCGATTTTCATGTGTTTGTGAGGGTTTTGCAGTTTCTTATGCTATTGATCTCCAGTTTTACTGCACTATGGTCTGATAATAAACAGGGAGTAGTTTCAGTCCTTTTGCATTTACTTAAACATCCCCTATGACCTAGCATTTGGTCTGTTTCGGACAATGACCCGTGTGCTCCCGAAAAGAATGTATATTCTGATTTTGTGGGGTGGAACACTGTGTAGACATCTATTAAGTCCACTAATTCAAAGGCTTGGTTCATTTCTAGAATGTCCTTGTTGATTTTTGCCTAGATAAGCTGTCTATTTGTGATAGTGGGGTATTGAGGTCCCCCACTGCAATTGTATTAGTGCTTATTTGATTTTTCATGTCCGTTAATATTTGTTTTGTATC